CCTCTGGCAACTCCCACTGAAATTTCACATCTATTTTGTCTTAGTGCCTCATTCAAAGCTTTGAATTTCACATCCTGTTATTCAGTGTTTCCTAATTTGTGAGAGTGCAGTTAGGTGATATTCTAAATACCTTAACTCTGGGCATTGTTACAATCACCTTTTTTGACTAGGACATAGCTGCAACTGGAATTCTTCACCTTTACACTTTGTGTTTTTTGCTCTGCAGAATTTATGAATTTTAGTGTTTGTTTTACTTATGATATTGGGATATGATGCTCAAATCTTTGCAGTCAAGGTGTTGTGAACAGGCAGATCCACCCGGAACATTTTCTAGTACATTTTGGGTGGGTCTTATATGTAAGACAAAGCATTCTCAAGAGATAAACAAGATTACTCATTGAGCCGTATAAAGAAAACAATTGGTTTCTCTTTTAAAAAAGCCACCATGATTTACTATGAAATGTGATCATAATAATAATAGTAGTGGACTAAACCAAGAGAGAATAAAAAATATGCATCCATGAGAAGGTTAACCCCATTAATCCTTTTTAAAATGTTTACTCTGTGAAATATTTTGAGATACCATGTTGTCTACACACACGATTCTAGTGGATGTTATGAAGACTATTACGATTCTGCAGGCTGGACTGGCTTCTGTAGTAACTACAAATATCCAGGGAACGCACAGCTAATAAAAGAACAACCTAGTACTCCCAGGAGGGTCAAGTCCTCATGGCCTGTGAGGATAATAAATAGATTGGAGATACTGGGATTGAAGAAGAGATGTCCTATGTAATCACACCAAAAAGGCATGTCCTTTGTGGTGCAAAACAGCACTTCTCATTTTCTGAGAGAATACATAATTTATGTATTTGGTTTGTTTGCTTAGTGTAAGTCTCTCCTACTAAAATGAGTTCCATGAATGTAGGGAGATTCTGTTTTGTTTTCTGTTGTATGTTCAATGCCTGGCACCTAGTTCATGAAAGGTTGATCTAGTCAAAGAGCTAAGAAGAAAGGGCGAAAGCATGGGAAGGCAGATTTTTGGCTCAACACACAGGCTTTTGTAATGATGTATACTATCTGCAGGCTGGGCCAGTAAGTCCTGCCTTCTCTAGAGCTACAGCTGGATCAAGCTGACTGTTGGGCTGGGACATTTTGGGGGATGACATATGGGGGGTGTATGGCCACTAAGTTCATTTCTACCTTTGTGGTTCTGAAGATGGGCCTTTGCCAAAGACTTGACAATGGAGGGAACCCAAGATGATGACATTGTATTGTGAGTGATGATAGCTAATTAAACTTGGGGTATGAAAGATTAGGAGTCAGAGATGGCACTGGTACTCCCAGCTTCAGTATTTTGGTGCCACTGAAAGGAAAAACTGAAGTTCAGTAGAAATGCTGGTTTGTGGGCAAATGTTAAGCAATGGTCATAAATTTTGAATTTAATGTGTTAGTGGATCACACAGGAGACATCCAGAAGGTGATTATGTTCAGGCAGAGATGGAACTCAGGAGAGGCTGAGGTACGTCATGCCTATTTATTAGAAAAATCCACACCCCTCTCTCCAGGAAGGTATCCGAAAATGTTGCTTAAAAGATGCCATAGGGGACGCCTGGGTGGCTCAGTGGGTTAAGCGTCTGCCTTTGGCTCAGGTCATGATCCTAGGGTCTTGGAATTGAGTCCTGCACTGGGCTCCCTGCTCAGTGGAGAGCCTGCTTCTCCCTCTGCTGCCGCTCCCCCTGCTTGTGCTCTCTCTGACAAATAAATTAAATCTTAAAAAAAAAGATGCCATAGGTAAGTAGATCATTTAGCTATAGAATTTAATGTAATTATGTAGAATGTAGGTATTATAGTTTCATTTCACAGATGAGAAAATAGAAGCCCAGAGTGACTTTATTGCTTCTTGGGGCCAGAGGTCTAACTTGAATCCCTGTCTTTGGAGTCTGAGCGTGAAGTTATTTCTCCAGTGTTCTGCTTCAGGGAACTGAGAGTCATCAAAATGAGACTCCTCACAATGGGACAGACTAACTGGTTGCTCACTGACAGTGAGAGTGTCCACCACTTGTCCTTGACTCAGCTGTGCCCACACCCCCTCCCCAATTCCAGTTCTAGTGCTTACCACCTGCTACCAGGAAGCCTCACCATAAAACTGCAAGTTAATGATGGTTGCATCTGCCAAACTTTCTTGGATGGGCTAGTACAACGTGCTCCCCAGTACAAGGCTGTCATGCCTGGGCTCTTTTTCCCCTCCTCTAGTGATGATGTTCACTGTGAGAGCTAATGGGTAGTCAAGTGCAATGGCTTGGGATCTGGGAGAAAATGAGCTCAACAGGGAAACATGAATAAGTTGTTAAAGCTAAGTGGAAGTGAGAAGTGGAGGGAATTTGGAGAGGCAGATGAGGAAGGCATTGGGGAGCACCGAGGCGACATGGGGTGAATTCAGTGAGAAGACAGCTTCAGGAGAGCATTTGTCCAGCGACAGAATTACAGCACCTTTTTGTACCCTGGATTGACTTCAGTGGGCAAAGAAGGGAGGGGTTACAGAAATGCTGGGGGAGCCAATGAACTAGGAGTGTTTTCTGGAAAACTAATTTCCTCTCTCATATGGCTGACAACAGCATCTGCTATACTTTCACAACATTTTGTGTGAAAGCTAAGTTTTATTTGCTATACAAGAAAGGCTGTCCATAAGTGCCCAGCACCCACAGAAGGTGGAGATTGGGTCAATTTTTACTTAACAGGACTGTGCCTTGCATTGGAAAGCTGAAGGAATAGAGATTCAAGGGTTGTGGCTTTTTTTTTTTTTTTTTTCTTTTCACTTGCAATTTTTGGAACCGTAATTCAGCACTACTGGATTAGGGCATGTTCTGTCAAACTAAAAATCATAAGCTTTCCTATGGAGAAAGTCTCAATGTTATAGCTGAAAGAGGCGACAGCCGCATTACTGCTATCCAAAATAATTTATTAACTGTGTCTGTGCAAAATACTCTGGTAGGCACCAAATCCCAGGAGCTTTGCGTTTCAATGAATCCTCTGCTCTCTGCAGTCTTCTCAGCGTACTGTTCGGCTCTCCACCTGTGAATAAAATGGATACCTTGAAAACTTCATCTTGGTGGAGGCTGTTAACAGTACAAGAGAACGCTGGTTCCTGCATCGGTGGCAATCTTACAGTGCTGGGGAGCTGTATAGAAGGCTGTCATCCTCAACTTCTCATTCTCCGAGCTTGTAAATAAAAGCATCTTTCCAGTTTCCACTTTAGACCAGGAAATCTGGGGAGAGTTGACAAGCGAGGTTCTGCATCATCAGCATAAAGCATGCTGATGCTGGCTCTCTAACCCTTTCTTTCTTCCTCGCCCAGTCCCCCGGACTCCCAGGCAGGTCCCACACTGCACCAGGTACACCGGCGCCTCTCTACCCAAGGTAAGAAACCAGCAATGCAATTTGGGATACCAACCCAAATCCGTCTAAATTTTACCTCTCACCATCAGTTGTCATGTGACAGGTGTACCTGTGCTTTCATCTACATTTAAAGGCAATACTTTGTTTTTAAAGAGAAGTTCTCAATCAGCTTGTAGGTATCTGCCAGGTGTAACTGCACAAAGCTCGTCTGCTTCACCAGCATCTGTCTGAGGAACTCGGAGGAAAGGTGGCTGTTCACCGAGCAGCACCCGCCATCTGGCCGGGGAGTGCACAGACGCCCTCCCACGCGCACAGGCCCGGCTCCCTTGCCCCGCAGCGTCAGTCTGACCCCGCCGGATCCGTTCGGGAGACGGGCTCACGATCGGTCGGGAGCTGCTTTTGCCAGGCACTTCCAAGTGGGGGTTTGCCTGGATCATTTACTTCTCTTGTGCACATTAAGAAACCACCATTAGGTGTTGGTGGGAGGCGCCACTCTGCCTGAAGCCCAGCCCGTCCGCGGCGGCTCCGCGCACACCGCACCCGCCCGGCCGCCAGAGCTCGCCTGGAGCCACCGCGGCCCGAGGTCCGCGTCGCCTGGAATCCCCGACGCGGTCTCGCGTTTCACCTCCCCAAGCGTGACCGGGCAGCGGCGCCGGGGTGTGATTTCGATTCCTCTGCGGATTGTGGGGTTCCCTCCGCGGCGGGTCCAATAGCACCCGCCGCGGACGCCCCGTGCGCCCCCGGCCCCGGGCTCGCGGCGGCGGGGCGCAGCTCGCTGGAGTTTGACTCTCGGGCGGCGGCGGCGGCGGCGGCGGCGGCGCGGAGCCGCAGGCGGCGGGAGTGAGGCGAGCCCGGCCGCTCGCCCTCCGCGCTGCGCTCGGATTGGTCTCTCGCAGAGAGTGCTGGCCGAGGGTTGGCTGCGGGCCGGCTGCAGAACAGGTGCACCTTGCCGCCCGGGCTCGCGGAGCAGCCGCCGAAGAACGCGGCGCGCCGGGCCGGGCGAACGGCGGCAGCGGCGGCCAGGTCGGCCCCCTGTGTCGGAATGCGGCTCTCCGGCGTCCGGCATCCCGCGGCCAGGCGGCTCGGCCCCTGAACGCGGCTCGAGGCCCAGCGGCGGCGCGGGCGGGCGCCCCGGGGAGCGGGCCGGGCGCGGCGCCCCGAGGATGCCGGCGCGGCTGGAGCGCATGCAGGCGGCGGGCAGCGGCGGCAGCGACAGCAGCAGCATCAGTAGCAGCAGGAGCGGGGCCCCGGCGCGCAGGAGGCCGCTGGGCGGGCTGCAGACGCGCCCAGCCGCTCCCTGACCGGCCGGCGGCGCCGGGGGCCCGTCTCGCCCCTCTCCCGTGCTCCTCGCCGCCCCCTCCCCGGCCCGCGTCCCCTCCCCCGCTCCTCTCCTCCCCGCCCGCCGCCCGCCTCTCGGGGGGAGGGGCGTGGGGGCAGGGAGCCGATTTGCATGCGGCCGCCGCGGCCGCTGCCTGCGCCCGAACCCGCCGCCGCCGCCGCCGCCGCCGCCGGAGCCCGCGCCCGCGCCCGCGCCCGGCCCGCGCGGCCCCATGCCTCTGGCGCGGCCCTCGGGGGGGCGAAGGTGAAGACCGGCTCCTAGGATGAGTGAAGGTGCGGCCGCTGCCTCGCCACCTGGAGCCGCTTCGGCAGCCGCCGCCTCGGCCGAGGAGGGCACCGCGGCGGCTGCGGCGGCGGCAGCGGCGGGCGGGGGCCCGGACGGCGGCGGCGAAGGGGCGGCCGAGCCCCCCCGGGAGTTACGCTGTAGCGACTGCATCGTGTGGAACCGGCAGCAGACGTGGCTGTGCGTGGTGCCTCTGTTCATCGGCTTCATCGGCCTGGGGCTCAGCCTCATGCTCCTCAAATGGATCGTGGTGGGCTCCGTCAAGGAATACGTGCCCACCGACCTGGTGGACTCCAAGGGGATGGGCCAGGACCCCTTCTTCCTCTCCAAGCCCAGCTCCTTCCCCAAGGCTATGGAGACCACCACCACGACCACTTCTACTGCGTCCCCCGCCACCCCCTCCGCCGGCGGCGCCGCCTCTTCCAGGACGCCCAACCGGATTAGCACCCGCCTGACGACCATCACGCGGGCGCCGACTCGCTTTCCCGGGCACCGGGTGCCCATCCGGGCCAGCCCGCGCTCCACCACCGCACGGAACACTGCGGGCCCCCCGACGGTCCTGTCCACCACAGCCCCCTTCTTCAGTAGCAGCACGCCGGGCTCCCGACCCCCGGTGCCAGGAACCCCCAGTACCCAGGCAATGCCCTCCTGGCCCACTGCGGCATACGCTACCTCCTCCTACCTTCATGATTCTACTCCGTCCTGGACCCTGTCTCCCTTTCAGGATGCTGCCACCACCCCTTCCTCCTCCTCGTCTTCCTCCCCCTCTACCACCACCACGCCAGAAACAAGCACCAGCCCCAAATTTCGTAAGTATACACCGGGTCTGAACTCTGATTTACTACTGACTTTCCGTTTTGCCCTCCTGCTGTCTTTTCCCTCCCGCCGCCTGTCTTCTCGCATCCTCCACCCCTCACCCAATTTCAGGTTTGGAGCGCTGAATGAGATAGTTAACCTGGCCGCCAGGCAGGAAAAGGGTGCGGGTCTGTTCGGGATCCTTATGCGGGGTGGGGCTGGGGGGCGGTAGGAAACGGAGGCAGATTGTCAAGCTCCACCCGGCCTACTTCAGTGGGTCCCAAACGAGAACAGATCTCCTAACTCCCTTCAAAGGGTTAACGCGAGCGCGATTTCTGCTCACTGCAGACCTGCTGGCGAGCTCCCGGATCCGGCTCCTATTGAGAGCTGGGGAGGGAGGGAGGGCCTTCCCAAAAGCACTGAGCCCTTTCCCCGCCGGTAGGAAGGAGTGAAAGAAAAGCACATGCAAATTGAGCGATGATAAACCACAAAGGGAAGTTCTGTCCGTGTGGGTGTGTGTGCGCGTGTGTGTGGGGGGCTAATTTGATGGAAATGTTGATAGAATGAAGCTGTCGACTTATAGCAGCCCTGACCCGGGCAGCGATCAGGAAGGGTTAATTAGAAGCCATTGGGGGAGGTAGGAAAAGGAGGCGATCCATGGCGTAGGGCTAAAGTGATCACCACCCCCCCTCCATCCCCAACCCGCCTCCCCGCCAGCCTGCCCTTGGCCCTTCCTGGGTGTAGAGATTGATTCTGTGGCCGCCCAGAGTGAGTTAAGTAGGGGGAAATAGCAAGGGAGCCCTGCCGAGCTACCGCCTCTAGGGTCCTGACGGAGGAGGAGTTTTTTCAGCTGTCAAGCGTTTGCTTTTGTTCCTTTCCCAAAGGTGGGCTGTGAAACCTCATCTCCCTTCCCTCTGTGCCTGAAAAATGTAAGGGGAATTGGACAGAGTTCTCTGCACTCCAGGGGGAGAACGTCCAACCCCTTTGAAACAGGTCACTCTGTGAATGTAGCATCTTTAGCCTGGGCGCGATTCGTGCCAGCACTGGCCAGTTTACCCCAAGAGTGATAGCTTCCTATGTATTTGTATAGGTGGTGTATATTTTCTATTTTTACAAATGTTTTGTGTGACTAATTGACCTCCCACCCCCTACCCCCCCCCCCCCCCCTTGCTCTTAAAGGAAATGTTGGGAAGCTTCTCACTCTATTGATCAGGATATCGGAAACAGTTTGCAACCTGTGAAGGTTATTTAGGACAAATCCCCCGCCTGCCAGTTCAAGTTCTGTTTAAGCCTGTTCTCCAAAAACGGTCTTTACATTGTAGTTCTGTTTTGAGCTATAACATCTGGAGAGGAAGAGGGCTCATCATTAACTCTTCAGTAGGAATACCTGGCTTGCTTTCAGTCATCTGACAATTTTTCATTTCTCAGACCTGTGATCTTATTAACTTGGGTGTTATTTAACCCTTGAAACTTTTTAAAAAAAGGATTTAGTGCATTTGTGGGTAAGGTCCAAGAGAGAAATTCCTTAATGCCCTGACTATGGGAGAAAAAAAAAAAGATAAATTGGGAGTCAGAGAGCAGAGGGGAAGGAGGGAATCTGCCACAAACCAGAATGGCAGTCAAACCCGATAACTTGCTGCTTCCTTCTCCTTTGGCTGAAGTAGTCTTTCTGAGAGCACATTTTCTCAGGAGGTGTTTAGAGGCTTCTCCCAGCAAATCTAGCTTGAGTTTTGTGGAGGATAAAGGATATGCAAGTGTATGTATGGACGTATTCAGTGGTTTGAAAGTATCTGTCTATCCTGAAGACCTCAGATTTTTTTATCTTTTGATGCAATTGATACGAATAATGGAGTGTGGGTGTACTTCTCAACTGTATATGTGTGTGTGTGTGTTGGGGGGGGTATTTCATGTTCTTTCTCAGTTGATTTCCTTGTGTTGCATTCAGGAGGTCTTTAAAGAAAACCCCAGGGTAATTATTTCTACCTCTCCATGCTCCTTTTCTATATTCTGTAGAAGGGAATGGCAGCCTGTTTAATAAGTAATGATTATTGACAAGGCTCTCAGCCCCAAGGAAAAGGGGTGGGGGGAGAATCTGTAAATGGTGTCAATGTTCACTTAGACATATAAGCAGCATTTGTTTTATGTGTATCTGAGGTCCAGCTCTTGCTATTTTTTAAACCTTCAACAAGGAGTTGAATTAAGGGGTAAAACACTAGTATGCAAATCCAATAGAAACTGACCTGGTTTGCATATATCAACAAGGGAAATTTTAATGAAAGATGATGCAGTTTTTATAAAAGATGAATTTAAATAGTGAGGTTTATATGGTAATTTAGAGAAAAGGATAGTGTGTGTGTGTGTGTGTGTGTGTCCAAGATTGCAGGATGATTAACCAAAGGATATAAGGATTTCATTTGAGGGATTATTAGCACTGCTACTGTGGGCTGAAGAATGGCCTGAATGTCTTGCATTTTATTTTTCACTTGTTTTGATTATGTTACTAAAGTTCCCAGGAGAGAAATTCCCCTTTTTCCTAGTTCCTACTGTCAGACTTAAGTATATATATATTTTTTCTTTCTGTTTCTTTTTTCTTTTCCTTCTTCTTCTTCTTCTTTTTTAATGAAAGTCATGAATTATGTTGTAGCACCTGAGGACAGCTAAGGATAAGGCTCTGTTTCTTCAAGACTAAGTCACTAATTCCTTAATGGCCAGGGTCTTGGCTCTTGAATTGAACATCTCAGGGTTTACAGAATGAATGTCTTTGTGTTTGTCTTAGGTCAGTCAGATGGATCTTGTCTGTAAAGGCAGCACAGCTCTTTGGAGGAAAAGGGGCTGGTTCACTCTTGAATAAACACACTTACTGATGGGTAGTAGGCAAAACAAAAGCTATTTTTGTTATGCGGGAGGCTCACTTTAGAAGACTAATTTTCTGTTGGATTAAAGACAAAGATTGAATTTAAAAGGCAGAAGGAGGGGAAGGGCTTGAGGTTGACTATTCTCTTGTCATCTTCCAACCTTTAGACCCTGAGCTGGACCAAAACTTTCTTCCACATTACTGCGATCTCTTGGGTTCCCAGTTAGCTGCCCAAGACTTGCTTTTGCTTCAGATATTTTTTTAGAAGCAAATATATTAAACGTATTGCCCCCAGATTATTTCACCAAAGACCTCTTCGAAGCATCTTGCCTCTGAGAAGGTAGATTAGTTCGGAAATTTTTCAAGACAAACGAAGATTTACTATAGACAGGAGAGGAACAGTGATTTTGACCAGTTTACAAAGAGCCTTTTACAGCACAATGAATTGTGTTTTCAGACTTGAAATTTATATGTAGAGTGTTGACAGTGCCAGTCTGGATTGTTACTTTACTCAGCCAGAAGCCCTGTTTTAACAGTTCAGAGTTCAGAGTCATTGGCTAAATTCAGAAACTGAAGACAAGAGAAAGAGCTACTTTTAATTGGTTAGTGTTAGGGCCCTATTTGGAAAGTGTATATTTAATTACAGTAAGTAAGACCACAGATCTCAAATAGTGTTTTTAGTGAAGAGGTAAATGTAGAATGTATCATTGATGTATAAACATGGTATGGGGGTGATTTTATTATAACCAAGTCTATTTCATTGAAACTTTACCTAGTCATACCTGTTGTAATTTTGAAGATAGCCTTTGATAACACTGAGTATTTTCTTTTCTTTATTTAAATTTTATTTAAATTCAATTAATTAACATACAGTGTATTATTAGTTTCAGAGGTAGAGTTCAGTGATTTCATCAGTTGCACATAATACCCAGTGCTCATTATATCACGTGCCCTCCTTAATGCCCATCACCCAGTTACCCCATCCCCCCACCCAACACTGAGTATTTTCCTGTATTCTTTTCAAAAGATTCCAGTCTTTCAATAAGAGTACTCTTAGTTGTTTTATTGCATCCTTAAAAATACTTTGTTGAAATAAAATTACTTCTATGTATTGTCCTCTATTTACATGAATCCAAGCCTTCAAAGGAATTCTAGCATAGCAGGTTCCAACCCCACCAAAGTGAGAGGTCAGTATTTCTTATGAAATTCACTTGAGAGCTTTTTGATGAGCACATGTTACAACCTGAGTATGTTTTGATTTCCTTGGCCTTAATACAGGATTATGAGACTTTTCTGCTTTAATCAATTATACTGTGTGTTTTGCTCTTTAGATACTTACGTTGTACTTCATCACACACACACACACACACACACACACACACACACACCCCAAGGGCACGGGCTGGTGTGGGCAAGGCTCTTTCTAGAGCCATTTTTAGTTTGGTCTTGGTGCATGAAGACAGTGTGGTTTAAGCCTTCCTCCTCTGTTCCCCATGACTGCTAAGGGATTGGTAATACTGTTGGTAATTGAGATGACCTTTTGCAGGGTTGATTTGTGAATCCATCCACCTATTGTATTTGTGCTGTATGTCCTGGATAGCCTTTTTTAACGCAGTGATGATCCGTAAACCAGTTAGAAAGGGGGGGGAAAAAACCAAACAAACCCAACAAACAGACACTAGAAGCTGGTTTGTGGCAACTTCTGTCTGTTACTTTTCCAAGTCCAGATTGGGCCATGAGCAAGAGAGCAGGTGCAGGGTGACTCAGTTCCGTCTCGGGAGGTCTGGTGTGCAGAAGAGCAAGTTCTCTCTTCCCTTGGGGATGCTTCCCCAGCTCTTCCTCCTGTCCAAAGCATAATGGGAAGAAGTCAGATTTTCAGCTTGCTTCTTTTGTAGAAATTCTTTCCTCATAACCTCTCATATCTAGTGCCAAGCATATCTTAATATTCTATCTGGGTTGTTGAAAATGGAACATGAAAGTTGGCCCTGAAATATATAAGAGCAAGGAAAGAGCCATAAATCTAAGTCTGTAAAAGGCATTTGAATTACTTGTGAATAGAACTGAATTTCATTTTTTTCCCTTTGAATCTGTTTTTATCCTCAGACTTTTGTGTTGAGTGAAGCAAAGCTGTACTGGGTTGACAAATACCACTGAGACGTT